TGATAGGGTTTCTGGGGGAAAATAATCCTCCTTGACACAAGGGAACAGCAAGGAGAAGATCTCCACGTTGTTGAGTTAGTTTAGAATGTCTGGAGTTGCAGCAGTCATCTAGAAACTCAGTGGAGAAAGCCAGGGGAATTGCAGAGAAGTCAAACTGGGCTTCTGATTTTCTCAAGTTACTTAAATGATCCAACCCCACTACCACCTACATCCAGGCAAGTTAATAGATATCTTCCCTGTTTATGTCATCTTTGGTTGGTGTTCTGCACATTCAGCTGAAAGCTTCTTAACAGATATAGCCAATCTAAAGGAAGTTACATTTTGTCCCCCCTACTCCTGCTGCAGCCCCCTCCACCAACCCCTGGTACTCTTCTGCCTCTTATCTGTGTTTTCTTTTGTTAAAGGTGGGGTCTTGGGATGTGGTCGAGGCTGGAGTTCAGTGGCTGTTCTCAGGTGCAGTCATAGCACACTATAGCCCCAGACTCCCATCTCAGCCTCCCAAGTAGCTGGAACTATAGGTCCACAGAGTTCCTTACTGTTTTGTCTATGACACATATTACAACTTGTAATTTATATATTGTAAGTTGTCTTTGTCTTTCTTGTGTCTCTTTTTTGTTACTGTTGTTCCACCCAAGCAGAGTAGGCTTAGAGAGACTCCCCTCAAGTCTCCTTCTCAAAGAATATAAGTTCCTTGAGGACAGGAACTTCCTGTCTTGGTTACCATCGTATGCCTGCCTGGCCTAGTAAATATACATCGAAAAAAAAATGAATGAATGAACAAACATATCAGTCTCCACTGCCAACTGAACACTCCTTGAGGAAGGTGTACATAATCCTACCTCCTCAAAATGTAATACAGGACCAAGCAGTTAACCAGTATGTAATAAATAGTTGTCAAACTAGTTAAGGCTATCTGGCTGAATCTCAGCCCGTCAAGGATATATCAGTATGATGAAAGGTCCTGGCCTAAACTAAGATAAAAAGGAAAGGTTTAAAAATAAAGTGCCTGGCACAGCGCCTCACACCTGTAATCGCAGCACTTTGGGAGGCCGAGGTGGGCGGATCACGAGGTCAGGAGTTCAAGACCAGCCTGGCTAATATGGCGAAATTCCATGCCTACTAAAAAATACAAAACGTTAGTTGTGCATGGTGGTGGTGAGCGTCTGTAGTCCCAGGTACTCCAGAGGCTGAGGGAGTGGAATTCATTTAACCCAGAAGGCAGAGGTTGCAGCGAGCTGAGATGGCGCCATTGCATTACAGCCTGGGCAACAGAGTGAGACTCTATCTCAAATAAATAAATAAAAATAATGCCGGCTGGGCGTGGTGGCTCATGCCTGTAATCCCAGCACTTTAGGAGGCTGAGGTGGGAGATCACTTGAGCCCAGGAGTTGGAGACCAGCATGGGCAACGTGGCAAAACCCCGTTTCTACTAAAAATACAAAAATTATCTGGGAATTGTGGCACACTCCTGTAATCCCTGCTACTCAGCAGGCTGAGGCATGAGAATCGCTTGAACCCAGGAGGCAGAGGTTGCAGTGAGCCAAGATCTTGCCACTGCACTCCAGCCTGGTGACAGAGCAAGACTCCCTCTCAAACAAAATAAAACAAACAATAAAACCAGGCTGGGCACAATGGCTCATGCTTCTAATCCCAGCACTTTGGGAGGCCAAGGCAGGAAGATCCCTTGAGGCCAGGAATTTGAGCAATAGTCCCAGCTATCCAGGAGGCTGAGGTGGGAGGATCACTTGAGCTCTGGAGTTTGAGGTTGTCATGAGCCGTGATCACACCAATGTACTGCAGCCTAAGTGTCTCAAAAGAAAAAAAAGTTGTCCAGGCACAGTGGCTGACACTTGTAATCCCAGCACTTTAGGAGGCTGAGGCGGGTGAATCAACAGGTCAGGTGAATCAAGAGGTCAGGAGTTCCAGACCAGCCTGACCAAAATGGTGAAACCCCGTCTCTACTAAAAATACAAAAATTAGCTGGGCGTGGTGGCGGGCCCTGTGATCCCAGTTACTCAGGAGGCTGAGGCAGGAGAATCGCTTGAAACTAGGAGGCGGAGGTTTCGGTGAGTCGAGATTGCACTCTAGCCTGGGCGACAGAGCAAAACTCTGTCTCAAAAAAAAAATTAAGAAATTAATTTGTATGAATTTAGGTGTCCTACAAGCCCCTGAAAATTATATCTCCTTTTTTTTTTTTTTTTTTTTTTTGAGATAGGGTCTCACTCTATTGCCCAGGCTCGGGCTCAAGCACAATGGCAGGATCACTGCTCACTGAATCCTCCAGCTCCTGGGCTCAAGCAATCCTTCCACCTCAGCCTCCAGAGTAGCTGGGATAACAAGTGCATGCCAGCATGCCCAGCTAATTTTAAAATTTTATCTAGAGACAGGGTCCTTCTGTGCTGCCCAGGCTGGTCTTGAACCCCCGAGCTCAAGTGATCCTCCCACCTTGGTCTCCTCAAAGGCTGGGATGACAGGCATGAGTCACTCCACCTGGCCCTCCTGAATATTCTTTAGCTGTGTCATGTGTGAATCCTCATTCTGTAACTATTGCAGCTGTGTTCACAGAACATCTTGGCAGTTTGCATCAATTATGATTGCAATTCCTAAAATATGTGGCCTCTAAGTTCCCTCACTAGATCCATCAGACAGTGAAGTACATCCTTGGCAACTATTTTGAGTAGCTGAAATTCTAAGTGCCATAAAATTGTTTTTAAAAACTTGGTAGGGCCGGGCATGGTGGCTCACGCCTGTAATCTAAGCACTTTGGAGGCCAAGGTGGGCGGATCACCTGAGGTCGGGAGTTCAAGACCAGCCTGACCAACATGGTAAAACCCCATCTTTATTAAAAAAAAAAAAAAAAAAAATTGGCAGGAGCTGGGCATAGTGGCTCACGCCTGTAATCCTAGTACTTTGAGACCAGCCTGGTCAACATAAGCGAACTGCCATCTCTATATATTAAAAAAAAAAAAAAAAAGATAAAAAGACTGGGTGCAATGGCTCATGCCAGTACTTTGGGAGGCCAAGGCAGGAGGATCACCAGGTCAGGAATTCAAGACCAGCCTGACCAATATGGTGAAATCCCATCTCTACTAAAAATACAAAAATTAGCTAGGCATGATGGTGCGAGCCTGTAATCCCAGCTACTTGGCAGGCTGAGGCAGGAGAATTGCTTGAAACCCTGGAGGCAGATGTCAGAGTGAGCTGAAATCATGCCATTACATCCTGGCTTTGGCTGACAGACCAAGACTCCATTATGGGGGGGGGGGGGGGGGGGGACGGGACGCCGGGCATGGTGGCAGGCACCTATAATCTCAGCTACTCAGTCAGCTGAAGCAGGAGAATCACTTGAACCTGAGGGGGCGAGGCTGCAGTGAGCCGGTGCCACTTCACTCCATCCTGGTAAAAGGGTGAAACTCCGTCTCAAAAACAAAACAAAACAAAAAGGCTGGGTGTGGTGGCTCACGCCTGTAATCCCAGCAGTTTGGGAGGCTGAAGCAGGTGGATTATGAGGTCTGGTGTTTGAGACCAACCTGGCCAACATAGTGAAACCCCGTCTCTACTAAAAATACAAAAAATTAGTCAGGCATGGTGGCACGTGAGTGCGTGCCTGTAATCCCAGCTACTCGGGAGGCTGAGGCAGGGGAATCGCTTGAACTTGGGAGGTGGGGGTTGCAGTGAGCCAAGATCTCACCACTGCACTCCAACCTGGGTGACACTGAGAGACTTTGTCTCCAAAAAACAAAAAAACACATTGGTAGGGAGTGATGTAAAATTTTTATTTAAAATAATTAAAAGAAATTAAAAAATGAAAACAAAAAGAGAAAAAAGTTTAAAATTTGGTAATAAGCCTTAGAGGAAAGATCAATGTTAGCTCTAAAAGAAACAGGTTGGCAAGGCCAGGTACAGTTGGTTTCTCACACCTGTAATCCCAGCACTTTGGGAGGCTAAGATGGGCGGATCACCTGATGTAGGGAGTTCAAGACCAGCCTGACCAGCATGGAGAAACCCTGTCTCTACTAAAAACACAAAATTAGCCGGGTGTGGTGGTACAGACCTGTAGTCTCGGCTACTTGGGAGGCTGAAGCAGGCGAATCACTTGAAACACGGAGGCGGAGATTGGGTGAGCCGAGATGGCGCCATTGCATTCCAGCCTGGACAACAAGAGTAAAACTTCATTTCTTTTTTTTTCTACTTTTTTCTTTTTCTTTTTTTGCAGCATCATTTTAACAACTATTCGTTTCAGAATACATACATACATACAAAATTAGCCAGGTGTGGTGGAGCACGCCTGTAATCACAGCTACTTGGGAGACTGAGGCAGGGGAATTCCTTGAAACCAGGATGCAGTTACAGTGAGCCGAGATTTTGCCATTGCACTCCCTAGCCTGGTCAACAGAGGAAGACTCCATCTCAAAAAAATAAATAAGCTGGGCATGGTGGCTCAAGCCTGTAATCCCAGCACTTTGGGAGGCCAAGGCAGGTGGATCACTAGGTCAAGAGATCGAGACCATCCTGTTCAACATGGTGAAACCCTGTCTCTTACTAAAAATACAAAAAATTAGCTGGGCATAGTGGCGCGTGCCTGTAATCCCAGCTACTCAGGAGGCTGAGGCAGGAGAATTGCCTGAACCCAGGAGGCAGAGGTTGCGGTGAGCCGAGATCGCGCCATTGCACTCCAGCCTGGGTAACAAGAGTGAAACTCCGTCTCAAAATAAATAAATAAATAAATAAAAATAAAAAATAAAACAAACAAAAATCAGGTTGGTGATTGGCTGACATTATGACAGAACTAATAAAGTCCTGTGGGGAAAGAAATGCGCTGCTGACCTCTAGTGCCTAATAGAAAAATTACATTTTCTACTCAACGTGAAAGGGACTGGCTTGCTGGTTACTGGTTTCTCTGCTGTGAGCAGACCCAAGTTTAAAACTTGTTTGTTTATTAAAAAAAAAAAAAAAAAAAAAAGCACTGGTTTATCCATTATGATAATAGTTATGTTTTGGTGCTTGCTTCTGCAGCACATATACTAAAATTGGAACGATACAAAGAAGATCAGCATGGCCTCTGCACAAAGATGATACGCACATTCTTGAAGCTTTCCATATTTTTTTAAATTAAAAAAAAGATATGTTTTGATGCATTGCTGTCATGAACTTTTTTTGTTCACCATGTTTTTTCTTTTTTATTTAAATTTTTTTTTGAGACGGAGTCTTCCTCTGTCACCCAGGCTGGAGTGCAGTGGCACGATCTCAGCCCACTGCAAACTCTGCCTCCTGGTTTCAAGCTATTCTCCTGCCTCAGCATCCCGAGTAGCTGGGACTACAGACGCGTGCCACCACATCTAATTTTTGTATTTTTAGTAAAGACAGGGATTTGTATTTTTAGTAGAAAGAGCATGTCTGTAGTCCTATCTACTCATGACACTGAGGCAGGATGATCCCTTAAACCCAGGAGCTCAAGGCTGTAGTGAGCTATGATTGCACCATTGCACCCCAGCCTGAATGACAGAGTGAGATCCTGTTCCTAATTTAAAAACAAAAATCCTGGGCCAGGTACCGTAGCTCACACCTGTAATTCCAGCACTTTGGGAGGCCAAGGCAGGTGGATCACAAGGTCAGGAGTTTGAGACCAGCCTGGCCAACATGGTGAAACCCTGTCTCTACTAAAATGCAAAAAATTAGCTGGGCATGGTGGTGTGCACTTGTAATACCAGCTACTGGGGAGGCTGAGGCAGGAGAACTGGCTGAACCAGGACCCAGGAGGCAGAGGTTGCAGCGAGCCGAGACTGTGCCACTGCACTCCAGCCTGGGCTATGAAACGAGAATCCATCTCAAAAATAATTAATTAAATTAAATTTTTTAAAAATCCTAAGGCTGGGTGAGGTGGCTCAGCGTGTAATTCCAGCACTTTGGGAGGCCAGGGCACGTGGATCACCTGAGGTCAGGAGTTCAAGACCAGCCTGGCCACCATGGTGAAACCCTGTCTCTACTAAAAATACAAAAATTAGTGAGGCATGGTGGCACCTGTAGTCCCAGCTATACTCAGGAGGCTAAGGCAGGAGAATCTCTTGAACCTGGAGGTTACAGTTGCAGTGACCTGAGACCTCGCCATTGCACTCCCTTGGGTGACAAAGTGAGAATCCATCTTAAAAGGGGGAAAAAAAATTCTGGACACTGTGGCTCACCTCTCCATTCCCAGCACTTTGGGAGCCCGAGGCAGGTGGATCACCTGAGGTTGGGAATTCCAGACCAGCCTGACTGACATGGAGAAACCCCATCTCTATTAAAATTAGCTGGGCATGGTGGCACATGCCTGTGATCCCAGTTGCTCCAGTGCTCAGGAGGCTGAGGCAGGAGAATCACTGGAACTTGGGAAGCAGAAGTTGCGGTGAGCTGAGATCGTGTCACTGCACTCCAGCCTGGGCAACAAGAGTGAAATTCCATCTCGAAAAAAAAAATTATTTCTAGTTAGGAATTTTGCAGTGATACTAAGGATATACTAGCTTTTGAAGGTATGATATTGGTTTTATGATTATGCTAAATAAAAAGGAATCTTGTAGAGTGGCACCCTGATATATTTACAGTTGAAGTGGTATGATTTTTTTTTTTTTTTTTTGCATAAAGACAAACTTTATTGAGCCCCTCAGCACTAGTTCTCTTTCTCCTGCACAGTCTTGGTTCCCCCGAGACGTCTATTCAGACAGGCAGCAATGAAACCCACTCTGCGGCCAGCAGGGGCATCTCTGGATGGCGGAGGGTTTGCCAATGTGCTGGTGGTTGCCACCTCCAAAAGGATGGTTGATGGCCGCACCCCATACTTGTGGTTAGCAGTTCCTCATGTCTGAGGGTACAACTGTGTGCTGCCTGCAGGAGAAGCCTGGAGACCTTGGCTAGCCTTCAAGATGGGTTTGTCAATTCTGCCACCTCCAGCCACCACACCAGCCATAGCTCTGTTGGCTGAGGAGATAATCTTCTTGGAGCCAGAAGGCAGCTTCACATGGGTCTTGTTGCTCTCAGGGTTGTGGGAGATAACGGTGGCATAGTTCCCTGATGCCTGGGCCAGCTTGCCACCGTCTCCAGGCTTCCCCTGCAGGCAGCACACAATCGTACTCTCGGGCATGGTGCTCACAGTGAGCACATTGCCAATGTTGAGCTGGGCCTTCTTGCCGCAGTACACAAACTGGCCCGTGTGAATGCTCTCTGCGGCAAATGAACAGCCCCGTCCGCTTCTTAAACCGGTAGGGATCCCGGAAGACTACCTTGGCGAGGGGTGCGCAGCGGCCTGGGTTGTGAATGATGTCTTTCATGATGCCCTTGATGTAGCTGTGCCACTTGGCGAAATCCACGCGCGCCGCCCTTCCTGTGAGCGCAGAACACAGACTCGGCGCCCTTTCTCTGTCCACAGATCACGCGGCCCATGGTGACGGGTCCTGCTCACTAGCGTGGCCGAAAGAGGAAACACGGCGCAGACGAGCCGCCTTATCTCATGATTTGATTTTTAAAATCTGGCATTAGGGGATGAGGACCTATACATGAGGCAAGGCTGGCCTTCAGTTGATAATCCCTAAAGCTAGGTGATGGGTACTATGGATGTTCATTATACTGTGATGAACTGTGCAGATGCAGGTCTGGAATTTTACCCTACTTACAAGCTGTTAGTGAGCTTGCTACTATTTCCTACATGTTGGTAGAAGATACAAGACTCCTGGGTCAGAGACATAAACAAGACAAAACAAAACCTTAGTCACAGCAAAAGCAGCAGCCAGGGCGACATGGTAAAACCCATCTCTACAAAAAAATACAAAAACTAACCAGACCTGGTGCATGCCTAGAGTCTCTACTACTCCCGAGGCGAGGTGAGAGGATTGCTTGAGCCAAGGAGGTCAAGGCTGCAGTAAGCTGAGATCGCACCACTGTATTCCAGTGAGGGTGACAGAGAGATCTTCTCTCAAAAGAAAAAAGGGAAAAAAACCGGGCACGGTGGCTCATGCCTGTAATCCAAGCACTTTGGGAGGCTGTGGTGGGCAGATCACTTGAGGTCAGGAGTTTGAGACTAGCCTGGCCAACATGATGAAACCCCGTCTCTACTAAAAATACAAAAATTAGCTGGGCATGGTGGTGGGTTCCTGTAATCCCAACTACTCAGGAGGTTGAAGCAGGAGTCACTTGAACCTGGAGGCAGAGGTTGCAGTGAGCAGAGATGGCATCTCTGCATTCCAGCCTGAGCAACAGAGGGAGACTTGTCTCAAGAAAAAAAAAAAGCCAGGCTCGATAAGGCCAGGCGCTGTGGCTCACGCCTGTAATCCCAGCACTTTGGGAGGCTGAGGCGGGTGGATCACGAGGTCAAGAGATCCAGACCATCCTGGTCAACATGGTGAAACGCCATCTCTACTAAAAATACAAAAAATTAGCTGGGCATTAGCTGGGCACGGTGGCGCATGCCTGTAATCCCAGCTACTCAGGAGGCTGAGGCAGGAGAATTGCCTGAATCCTGGAGGCGGAGGTTGCGGTGAGCCGAGATAGCGCCATTGCACTCCAGCCCGGGTAACAAGAACGAAACTCCATCTCAAAAAAAAAAAAAAAAAAAAGCCAGGCTTGGTGGCATCTGCCTGTAGTCCTAGCTCTTCTGAAGACCGAAGCGGGAGGTTCACTTGAGGCCAGGAGCTTGAGGCTGCAGTGAGCTATGATTGTGCCACTGTATTCTAGTCTGGGTGATGGAGCAAGACACTTTCAAAAAATCCAAACAACAAAACCAAAAACCAACCCTAACATTTCCTTGATATTTTTCCATGTCTGCACATTTGATCTGACTAGTTTTTGTTTGTTTGTTTGTTTTTTGTTTTTTTGAGACAGAATTTTACTCTGTCACTCAGGCTAGAGGGCAGTAGCACCATCTCCACTCACTGCAACCTCCGCCTCTCAGGTTTAAGCAATTCTCCTGCCTCAGCCTCCTGAGTAGCTGGGATTACAGGCACCTACCACCACACGTGGCTAATTTTTGTATTTTTAGTAGAGACAGCGTTTAACTATGTTGACCAGGCTGGTCTTGAATTCCTGACCTCAAGTGATCCGCCTGCCTTGGTCTCCCAAAGTGCTGGGATTCCAGGCATGAGCCACCATGCCTGTCCTAACTCATTTTTTTTTATTGCTGCATATTATTTCATTAAATTGACGCTGTCATGGACTGAATTGTGTCCTTCAAAATTCAGATACTGAAGCTCTAACCCCCCATTGTGACTGCATTTGAAAATAGGGCTTTTAAAGAGGTAAAGTTACATGTGGACATAAGGGCGGGCCCCTCATCAGATAGGACTGTGTCTTTCTAAGTAGGGGAAGAGTCACCAGAGACCCCTCTCTTTGCACACACAGAAAAACAGCCCTGTTAAAGACACAGGGCACAGCCTGTTAAAGTAAAGGCTGGGCACAGTGACTCACACCTGTAATCCCAGCACTTTGGGATCATGAGTTCAGGAATTCAAGACCAGCCTGGCCAACATGGTAAAATCCCATCTCTACTAAAAATACAAAAAAATTAGCCTGGTGTGATGGCATGCGCCTGTAATTCCCAGTTACTCGAGAGGCTGAGGCAGGAGAATTGCTTGAACCCGGGAGGCAGAGGTTGCAGTGAGCCAAGATCACGCCATTGTACTCCAGCCTGGGTGACAGAGCAAGACTCTGTCTTGAGACAGAAAAAAAAAAAAGGCACAGTAAAAAGGTGGCTGTTTGGCTCTGTCACCCAGGCTGGAGTTCAATGGCAGGCATTCTGGGAAAATATTTTCTATTTTTTTAAAAAAAGATGGGGTTTCACCATCTTGGCCAGGCTGGTCTTGAACTTCTGACCTCGTGATCCACCCGCTTAGGCCTCCCAAAGTGCCGGGATTACAGGTGTGAACCAGCATTTTTCTTTTTTTTTGAGATGGAGTCTAACTCTGTTGCTCAGGCTGGAGTGCAGTGTTGCAATTTCGGCTCACTGCAAACTCCGCCTCCCAGGTTCCATTGATTCTCCTGCCTCCGCCTCTCAAGTAGCTGGGATTACAGGCCTGTGCCATGCCCAGCTAATTTTTGTATTTTTTAGGAGAGTTGGGGTTTCTTTCTTTCTTTCTTTCTTTGAGATGGAGTCTTGCTCTGTCGACAGGCTGGAGTGCAGTGGCACAATCTCGGCTCACTGCACAACCTCTGTCTTTCGGGTTCAAGTGATTCCCCTGCCTCAGCCTCCTGAGTAGCTGGGACTACAGGCATGTGCCACCATGCCCGGCTAATTTTTTGTACTTTTGTAGAAACAGGGTTTCACCAAGGCCAGGATGGTCTCAATCTCCTGACCTTGTGATCCACCTGCCTCAGTCTCCCAAGATGCTGGGATTACAGGTGTGAGCTACCTCACCCAGCTGTTTTTTTTTTTTTTTTTTTTTTTTTTTAGGTGTAATTTTATTAAATGCAAAATAATCCTCTCCAATTTTACTGAGGTGGCTGACCACGTCCACGACCAAATCCGCCTCTAAACTGGAATTCGGTTGCTGACCCAGCCCCCGCCTCGGCTTTCTTGTCAGCACCAGGTGGCACAGCACTCCGTCTGTAGGTATCTCTGTCAGCTTCCCCTCTTGTCAGTCTTGCAGGTCGCTCACCTTCCAGACCTTTAGGCCAAGGCCTGCCTGTCTCTGGACGGCTGCGGCGTAGGGTGGCAGGCACGATCTCTGGGGGCAGATGGAGGTAATCACGGAGATACTGGATACCCTCATTGGTAAGGTACCAGTAGAAATGTCTCCAGGCAAACTGTTCCTTCACGTAGCCTCGGGATTTGAGAGACTGCATGGCCTTCATGACATGAAGGTTGGGCATGTTCTTGTCCGCCAGCTCTGGGTGCTTAGGCATGTGGACATCCTTCTTGGCCACCATGACTCCCTCCTTAAAAAGGAGCTCATAAATGGCAATCCGGTTCTTCTTAGGCATCAACATCGCGACGACTGTAGGGTCCGGGGTCGGAGCTGGAAAGGCTTTTTTTTTTTTTTTTGAGATGGAGTTTCCCTCTTATTGCTCAGGCTGGAGTGCAATGGCATGATCTCGGCTCACTGCAACCTCTGCCTCCTGGGTTAAAGTGATTCTTCTGCCTCAGCCTCCTGAGTAGCTGGGATTACAGGTGCATGCAACCATGCCCAGCTAATTTTTGTATTTTTAGTAGAGATGGGGGTTTCCCTATGTTGGTCAGGCTGGTCTCAAACTCCTGACCTTAGGTGATCTACCTACATTGGCCTCCCAAAGTGCTGGGATCACAGGTGTGAGTCATCGTGCCCAGCCTTTTTTTTTTTTTTGAGACGGAGTTTCGCTCTTGTTACCCAGACTGGAGTGCAATGGCGCGATCTCAGCTCACTGCAACCTCCGCCTTCTGGGTTCAAGCAATTCTCCTGCCTCAGCCTCCTGAATAGCTGGGACTACAGGCACGCACCACCATGCCCAGCTAATTTTTGTATTTTTAGTAGAGACGGGGTTTCACCTTGTTGACCAGGATGGTCTCGATCTCTTGACCTCGTGATCCACCCGCCTCAGCCTCTCAAAGTGCTGGGATTATAGGCGTGAGCCACTGTACCCGGCTTTTTTTTTTTTTTTTGATATGGAGTCTTATCTCTGTCACCCAGTCTGGAGTGCAGTGGCTGGATCTTGGCTCACTGCAACCTCCGCCTCCCAGGTTTAAGCAAATCTCCTGCCTCAGCCTCCTGAGTAGCTGGGATTACAGCCTCGTGCCACCAGGCCCAGCTAATTTTTGTATTTATAGTAGAGACGGGGTTTCACCATATTGGCCAGGCTAGTCTTGAACTCCTGACCTCGTGATCGACCCGCCTGGGCCTCCCAGTGCTGGGATTACAGGAGTGAGCCACCTCGCCTGGCCTTCATTTATTTATTTATTTATTTTAAGACAAGGTGTGGCTCTGTCACCAAGTCTGGAGCGCAGCGATGTGATTTTGGCTCACTGCAACCTCCATCCCCCAGGTTCAATTGATCCTCCCATCTTATCCTCCTGAGCAGCTGGGACTACAGGTGCATGTCACCACACCCAGCTAATTTTAGGGTTTTTTTTTGGAGACAGTCTTTTTTTTTTTTTTTTTTTTGAGAAAGAGTCTCGCTCTGCCGCCAGGTGCCAGGCTGGAGTGCAGTGCACAATCTTGGCTCACTGCAATCTCCGCCTCCTGAGTTCAAGCAATTCTCCTGCCTCAGCCTCCCAAGTAGCTGGGACTATAGGCGCGCGCCACCATGCCCAACTAATTTTTGTATTTTTAGTAGAGATGGGGTTTCACTATGTTGGCCAGGATAGTCTTGATTTCTTGACCTCGTGATCCACCTGCCTCGGCCTCCTAAAGTGCTGGGATTACAGGCGTGAGCCACCACACCCGGCCAATTTTAGTATTTTTTATAGAGAGGAGTCTCACTTTGTTGCTCAGGCTGATCTCAAATTCCTGGGCTCAACTGACCGTCCTGTCTCAGCCTCCTGAAGTCCTGAGATTTCAGGTGTGAGCCACTGCTACTGCTGGAGATATGTCTATTCTTTTGCCTCTTTTGGAGTGCTTCCTCTAGGTTTTTTTTTTTTTTTTTTTGAGACAGAGTTTCGCTCTTGTTGCCTAGGCTGGAGTGCAATGGCATGATCTTGGCTCACCACAACCTGTCTCCTGGTTTCAAGCGATTCTCCTGTCTCAGCCTTTTGTCACTGGGATTACAGGCATGCACCACCATGCCCTGCTAATTTAGTATTTTTAGTAGAGACGGGGTTTCTCCATGTTGGTCAGGCTGGTCTTGAACTCCCAACCTCAGGTGATCTGCCTACCTCAGCCTCCTAAAGTGCTAGGATTACAGGCGTGAGCCACTGCCCCTGGCCTTAGGTCTTGATTTATTTGTGGCTGGGCATAGTAGCTCACATCTGTAATCCCAGGAGTTTGGGAGGCTGAAGTGGGAGGATTGGTTGAGGCCAGGAGTTTGAGATCAGGCTGCGGCAACATAGTGAGATTGTTTTTCTACAAAAAATAAAAAATTAGCTGGGTGTGGTGGCATGTGCCTGTTGTCCCAGCTACTTGGGAAACTGAGGAGGGAGAATTAGTTGAGCCTGGGAGGTTAAGGCTATGATGAGCCATGATTGTACCACTGAACTCCAGCCTGGGTGACAGAATGAGACCCTGCCTCCAAAAAAAAAAAGACATTTGCATGCTTTTCTCATCCTCTCTACCAGACAGTAACTTTCTCTGGAGCAGGGAACAGAGCTTTATCACTGAACTTTCCCAACAACATTGCAAACATAATCTGAATGAAGTTGAATCCATCATCTTCTCCAACTCCTGTGTCCCTTAATTATTTTAAATAGTGCAGAATCCTTTCAGTTACTATGGTACAGATCTCAAAGTCATCTCTCCACACAGTCATCACCAGGGCTCAACCTGCTGCTCAACAGTCACCTCCTCATTTCTTTCTTTCTTGCCTTTTTCACTCCTGAGTATAGTTGAATCCTTCATTCTCTCTCTTGGGATCTAATTAGTATGCTAGGTTCTATTTTCCCAGCTGATTTGACCCTTTCGCTTCCAGAAGAATCTTTCTAAAGATTGGCTGGGAGAGAGAGTGCAGTGGCCCACGCCTGTACTCCCAGCACTTCGGGAGGCCAAAGAGGGCAGATCACTTGCGGCCAGGAGTTCGAGGCTAGCCTGGCCAACATCGTGAAACTGTCTTTAGTAAATATACAAAAATGAGCTGGGTGTGGTGGTGCACACCTGTAATTCCAGCTACTTGGGAGGCTGAGACAGAATTGCTTGAACCTGGGAGGTGGATGTTGCAGTGAGCCGAGATCTGGCCACTGCATTCCAGCCTACGTGACTGAGTAGAGACTCTGTCTCAACAACAACAAAACTACAGTATTTTACTCTCCTAAGAATTTTTTAAATGTCTTACCAAAAAAAGTAAAATTCCTTAGCTTGGCACTCCCAGCTCTTTTTCTGTTCTACTTCCTGTAAAGCTTGCACACACACACAACCCTCAGGTCAAACTGAACTACTGAATATTCCTAGGGTTTGTCACTTGTTCCCCTTGGAAGTCTTTGTTCACGTTTCTGTCATTTTGCCATTCAGGAGTAACCACTGTCTCCGAACTCTTGTAGCACTTGATGCCTCCTTTCCAGCATTTACCACTTTCCATTTCCTTCACACAGTGTTGTCATCTTCTCTGCTAGGTTCTAAGCCCTTTGAGGCAGGGCCTTGTATACTCCACACCTGCTTACCAACTGATGATACACAGTGCACTCAGATATCCGTGCAGGATCTCTCTATTCCCCACACAATACAGCACCATGCCCTGTTCAGATGTACTAATTATTTGAATGAGTATATGATGTTCCACACCTCAGCCTTTTAGCCAATGTGGAAAGAAAATAGTAGATATATGAATTTAACTGTTTGCACACAAAAGTGACAGCATATGGCACTAATTCTTCATACAGCCTCAAAGGCCACATTTTTTTTTTTTTTTTGAGACGGAGTCTTGCTCTGTCGCCAGGCTGGAGTGCAGTGGTGCGATCTTGACTCACTGCAACCTCCATCTCCTGGGTTCAAGTGATTCTACTGCATCAGCCTCCCAAGTAGCTGGGACTACAGGCGCGCGCCACAATGCCCAACTAATTTTTGTATTTTAAGTAGAGATGGGTTTCACTATATTGGCCAGGACGATCTCAATCTTCTGATCTCGTGATCCGACCACCTCGACCTCCCAAAGTGTTGGGATTACAGGCGTGTGCCACCACGCCCGGTAAGGCGCGGATTTTTATATTCTGTAAAATCCTGACGCAGCTTCAGAGCTACGCCACTGCGTTGTTTACTTTTGAAGCTGAGTTCCACTGAACCTATACTTGAATCTTATCTAGAGGAACACAGCGTATAATTGGGACAATCCCCTTTCTCATTCCGAAGAGGTGATGTGGCCGGGGCGGGACCTCGAAACCCCCAGCAACTGTGACTGGCACTCTCCTCGTGACCAGCAAGTGCTACCTTGTCCTTTCCCTGGCGTTGTACAGTTTACGAAATCAACGAAGACGTTGATTTCATCTTTCCAGTAACCTGGGGAGGCAAAAATGCTCATCTCCCTAAAAAAACAGAAGATCAGAGGGAGATGGAGAAGAGGCGTGGCTACGAACTGTGGAGGGGAAGGGGGGTGGAATCCCGGAGCCCAAGCTGGAAACCGTTCCCGGCTCAGCCTTGACCCGGAGTGTTTAGTCGCACCAGGAGGCGCAGCTGGCGCGCAGACGGCACGAAGATCCTCCCCGCTGTCACACTGCAGGCAGCTAAGTCGCTGTGAGAGGCGGCCCAGGCAGCCCGGCCCGCTCCCTCCGCGACCCCCCAGCTGCCGGCACAAGCCCGTCCCTTCGCGACTCTGCCGGAAGTCCCGCCTGCGCCGCCGCCGCGCCCCACTGCGCCGGGTGCCGGGGCATCCCGGGTACCGGGCGTCCCGAGCGACCATAACGAGCCTCTGGTGGAGCCAGGCCCGAGGGCCGCAGAGGAACGGGGCCACGCGCGGCAGGCGGGCTCTTTGGTGCGGGGTGGAGAGCGCCGGGCCGGCGGCGGGACTTCCGTCACGGGACCCGGAAGAGGCCGCGCCGCCACTTCTGGGAGTTGTAGTCCGGCCGTGGTTGGGGGACCCGCGGCTCATGCGCGGTGCACCGAGGCTTGTTTCACATCTGTAACAACAGGTGAATTGGGCTTTTTATTCTCCCCTTTCGTGCCCTCTTGAGGAGCTTGCCGCGGCCGGGGGTGGTCGGCTCGAGTAGGGAACCCGGTCCGACCGCCGGCCTGGCGGAGAGTGGGGCGGAGAAGCCGGTGGGCCCGAGGAGCAGGCCGGGCATCCTAGGCCTGCCCGCGAAGCCGGCCGGGCCGATCCGTGGGCAGCCAGGCCTCGGCCTGCCGTTGCCATGGAGCCCGGGCGGGGGCGGGGGCCGGACCGGTCCGCCGGGGCGGGCCTCGCAGCCAGGGGCTCCGCGGAGGCCGCGG